CAATCGGTCAATTGCAGCTTGCCGTTGGCTGGAAACTGTACGTTTATGTCACTGGAATGCACTAATCACCCAAAAAAATATTACCGCCAGCCGGCGTGTAAATGGATCTAACTCTTTGAACGTACAATAGTGGTTGTGAAGCAGAAAGTCAGTTTATTTAGCACAATCGGTCAATTGCAGCTTGCCGTTGGCTGGAAACTGTACGTTTATGTCACTGGAATGCACTAATCACCCAAAAAATATTACCGCCACCCGGCGTGTAATGGATTTAACTCTTTGAACGTACAATAGTGGTTGTGAAGCAGAAAGTCAGTTTATTTAGCACAATCGGTCAATTGCAGCTTGCCGTTGGCTGGAAACTGTACGTTTATGTCACTGGAATGCACTAATCACCCAAAAAAATATTACCGCCACCCGGCGTGTAAATGGATCTAACTCTTTGAACGTACAATAGTGGTTGTGAAGCAGAAAGTCAGTTTATTTAGCACAATCGGTCAATTGCAGCTTGCCGTTGGCTGGAAACTGTACGTTTATGTCACTGGAATGCACTAATCACCCAAAAAATATTACCGCCACCCGGTGTGTAAATGGATCTAACTCTTTGAACGTACAATAGTGGTTGTGAAGCAGAAAGTCAGTTTATTGTACACAATCGGTCAATTGCAGCTTGCCGTTGGCTGGAAACTGTACGTTTGTGTCACTGGAATGCACTAATCACCCAAAAAATATTACCGCCAGCCGGCGTGTAAATGGATTTAACTCTTTGAACGTACAATAGTGGTTGTGAAGCAGAAAGTCAGTTTATTTTGCACAATCGGCAAACTGCAGCACCAACTGTGCATGACAGCCACCAAAAAAAAAAAAGGGTGTATGTCACTTTAAATTTTCGATTCTTTGATAGCTGTGGCCCTAAGTAACGATTCTGTGTCCCTGAGTAACGATTCTGTGGCCCTAAAGTCTCTGTGGCCCTAACTCTGTCCCTTAATACAGACAGGTCTGTCTCTCTTGAATGACCGGAGGCTAATGGAGAATTCTAAGATGGCCGCGATTTATAGTGCTGGCTGGCTGCTGATTGGCTAATGCGATCACATGTCATGAATGCATTATGGGTCAGCGCGCCTTGTCTGCGCGCCTTCCCAGAGATCCCCGCCCCATCTTCTCTGTCCATTTTCTTCGTGGCCACACATGTCGCCGCCATTTTTGGGAAAATTCGATTCATGCATCCGAAGTTTGCTAATCTTCGGATTCGTCGCGAATAGAATTTTTCCAAATCTTCGGAACGAATTCCACTTCGTCATGTTCGATTCGCTCATCTCTAGTCATATTGTGAAGACTATCAGGACTATGGCTTAGCCGTGGACGCTTTTAGTGGCAGCAGGGATAGCTGAACATTTTGATATAAGATTTGTGTAGGTGGGCTTGAAAATGAGGTAGTGATGGCAGTTTAGAAATGATGTCCTGATTTTTCAGCTCACACTCTAGCTTTTGTCAGCTCCCACTCTAGTTTTGAACATTCCGCCATTCATTCCTATGGGACGCCAATTTCACCACAAAAACGTCGATATTTCGTGAACCATTCGGCAAAACATTCCACAAAGTAATAGCACACCAATCGTGAACAATCCGCACGTTTCGGTATATTACTGTCTATGTAGTGTAAAAACTGTGGGAGGAGTTAGGGTGGTAAATTTGGCTATAATAATAAGAATACATATGTGAGATAACAGTAAGTGGTCTTGCCATGCAACAACACTTAATAAGTTAAAATAAAAAAAGAGGTAGACTCAATAGACATTTTGGTATTTTTTTCTGCCATCACTCTTCAATGTTTCTAATATGTACCATGTGCAGGGTTCTGTTGGTCTTAAATTGTATCCAGTGCTATATAACTGTATATTCTGTATGTTATGTAACAGATGGTAAAGTTACTGGTTGCAGAACTCTTTTTCCGCTACAAGATTGCAGTAACAGGTGTGCTTTGTTTAGCCAATGACTGACCTTAGGCAGTGACACCATGGGAGATGTAGTACCTGAAAACATGTACAAAAAAGCCCAAGAAGGAGCAGGGCAGTTGGGGGAGCACACCAGTTAGAGTAAGAAGGGAGAAGTGCTGTGATGTGTTGTGCCGTTCCTACACTATGCTTCACTGGACACTACCGCATCCTAGACAAGGAGGCTGGATTGCACAAAGTTTCCTTCCCAGTCACATACGCTCCCTGGTGAATCAGTCTACCACTGTCCAGAACTGCTGAGCAATTGCCAAGGTGTTTGCTAGCTCACCTGCTGCAGTAGTGGTCAACTACAGGAAAGGGGGCCCCCGATGTGCATCCGACCAACTGCCACCAGTGAACTGAAGAGGAAAGAAGTGGTGAGAGGATCATAGACCCACTGTTGAGCTGTACCCATTTGCAAATAACCTGCAGACATAGACCTTGTAGCTGCTGGTGTGTGAACTGCTTATTCTGTTCTAGTCCAGACCCAAAGCAGCCTAGTCATTTGATCTGCTTTCCAGAGTACCGAAACTGTGCATACCCTTACATCTAACTACTGAAATTGGGCACACGCTTACATCTAACCAGGGGCGGACTGACAACTCATGGGGCCCCCGGGCAATAGGGGATCATGGGGCCCCTGTGTCCTTGCCCAAACTCAAAAAAGCCTATGAAAAAGGTACCAGGGGCATCCCATGGGGCCCCCTACTGACCCCGGGCCCTCGAGCAGTGCCCGAGTTTCCGAATGGTCAGTCCGCCCCTGCATCTAACTACTACAACTGTGCATATCTTAGGGCCTGGCCACTGCAACTCGATCTGTTTCTTTCCAGGTAATCATTTGTACCCAAAAAACCCTCCTCTGCTAAAATCAATCTCTTAGACACATTGCTGCAACAACCAGTTTATTGACATACCTTCATTTCCCTGCGCGCCAATGTTCTTATAGGGCCCCAACGTAGCTGGTAGATCTACAACAAAGAGTTATTCAAGCCACTCTATGCTGTGGGCAGATCTGCAGCTTTAAGTCTTTATTTTGCAGGCCTAAACTTAGCCCCTTTGTTTGAGAGCTCTCAAGTGGCATAGTTGAACTACTTTGTTACGCTTGTATAGTTATTTGGAGCATTTTATCTCATATGTGGAGCTACTTTTTATGCCCTTGGGGTCACAGTATGTGCTAGAGTTTGAAGCTTCTGTAAGGGGACCTGTGAGTTAATCATACAGTCATTGGTATTCTCATGTTGACTGACTTAACATACCAATATACTCTGTTCTACTTTTATGATGTTAACCTGCCAATACAGCCTGTTTGCCTTTTATAGAGTTGTGAGTCTAGTTCTTGTGTGCCTGCTAAGATCTACAGAAAGTTATACTGATGGTGTCAGTGAGGATGAGGCCTCACAAAGGGCTGGACCAGAGCAGAGGACCTAAAATTACCAGAGGCTCCTACAGGGGTAGCGATACAGATATATCATCAAAAATAATCTCCATGGATTCGTCTATACCATCCATTGTTCACACTATGCCAGAAAGTTATGAGTTCACATATATATATAATAATGTATATATAAACATATATTATTTGGCAGACACCCACCCACAGCATTCACTGGTGAAGTTCATGCATTAGAGATTCCATTAATGTATTAGGCAGCTGTAAGGATAAGATTCGGGAGGAGACTACATGCTGTCTCCACAGCCAGAATAATGCTAAATATGTAGCACAGACAGCATTACTCAACCTTTCCCAGGTCCAAAATTACCTCCACTGGTAATCCAAGCATGCTCAAATGATAACCTCTTGGATGGTGGAAAATTCTCCCCCTTCTTCAGGGACCATCAGTCATCTGTTCTTAGTGCTAATTAGAGATGCTAGTTTTTGTCAAACCTTACCATACATTTGCTAGTGCATTCCATCATTAACATTTAATTCTATTAACATCCACTTCTCAAGCCCTAAGGAAAAGGGAAGTCTAAGAATAACCTCCTGGATGTGTACTGTACAGTGTCTGTTACAAATATTTGTATCACGTAAAGGTCTTTTTGAAATGTTTGTTGGTCAAGGATATCAAATACAGCCAACGTGTTTCATTTGGGAAAAGTCTTCCCATTCTTCAGGGGCCATACGTTGCCTGTTTGTAGTGCCAATGAGAGCTGCTAGTCTTTATCATGCCTAAACATAAGTCCTCTAGTGCATCCCATCATGATTCTAATAACATCAACTTGTCAAGCCCCGAAAAAAGGGGGAAATCTAAGGACAACCTCTTGGATGTGTTTACCGAGAAGCACCTAGTACAAATGTTTGTATCACCTAAAGGTCTTTTTTTAAGCATTTCTTGGGTAAGAGCATTAAATGCAGCCAATGATTTTCAGGGGAGCCGGGGATTATCAAGGGCCAGGTAGTCATTTTTTAGTGCCTTTCAGAGACACTAGTTTTTGTCAAGCCTAGGTCCTCTAGTGTATTCAATAAGATTCTATTCGCATCCACTGCTCAAGCCCCAAAGAAGGGGTAGTTTTTCCCCCCAAAATGCGTGGCTGTATTTTATGATCTTAAAAAATAAATGTTTAAAAAGATCTTTAAGTAATATGTACTTTTGTACTAGGTTCTCCTCAGTAGACATCCAAGACTACACTACTGAGTAATCCCTTTGTCATGATCAGTCTAGAACCAGAAAAAGGTAAACATACAGTAAACCATTACTTTAAGCAAAAAAGGTGAGGCTGTCCATACAGCAGTGAGATACAAAAATATATAATTATAACAGGGTCACCACCCCAAACATCAAAATAAAAAAAAGAAAAGGTATATATTCTAAGGTGACCTGCTGGTATTTATTTATATATTGTGAGAACTCGCTTCAGATGGTACAGCTTTTTTTTTTAAAGCACACAGCAACTCGCTTCTTATTAAGGGCCTTTTTGCCCAATTTTATTTGAAAGAAAAAGTTCCTTAAGTCTTCCCACGCAGGGGTATCCACATCAAACAAATGCAAATGATATTCAGCCTTCTGGCTGGTACACCGATTTCCGTCTGTCTCCTGCAGACTCTATCCAAAAATGGCTAGCCAATCACACACAGCTTGTCTGGCTTCCACCTCTACTAGGTGAAGCCCACCTGACTCCAAGGCAGATCTCCTGTCTGCTGGGGTGGAGGCCAGAATCATGGCCTGGCCTCCACAAAAAGGCCTGCACACACCTGTGCAATCAGCACGCTGGCTGCTCTCAAAACATGGACCCAGGATTGGAGATTTCATCCCTCCCAAATCTCTTAGAAATCTCCAGGCCACAGGTCCCAAAACAGGCTTTACAAACCAAAGAGGAAACTTATAAACCAGTTTCCTCTGCATTATGAGAACTGCCTGGAGCCCCTCAACCTGTATGGTTGAAAATCCTGGGTCTCCATCATGATTTCCACCGTGGCAGGATACCGCACTGCCACAATATATATATATATATATATATATATATATATATATATATATATATATATATATTTAAATGACCAACTCTAAATGACAGACATAATTGCATAAAAGATATTCCTAACAATTTTTATATGACATACGTTTACAATTAATATAAGAAAAAGAATAAACTGTTCACAATATGGAGTCACACTTGTTGTTTGTATTCATTGATGTGTTTCATGGTAACAACCGCTTCTTCAAATTATTAAACTCAAGTGTGACAGATATTCATAACATGTCCGGAAATAGAGAACATACATATAAGATATATAAACATGCATAGGTAATTCAATGCAGAAAAACAGAATATGGTCAACGTATTAATCGGCACATGAGGAGAAAGGAAGAAAGAACAGTACAAGTGAAACAAATGTAACTTCATATTGTGAAGTGCACAGCAGGACAAATTGCAGAATTCTGGAAAAAATTTCCAGAGATTTAAAATCTTTCTTTCTATTCAAAACATGAAATAATGGCTGCAGTTAGGCTTTGAGCAGACTTGTGTTTGCATGCTCCTGTAAGAGATGCATTTGGAAAACCTGCTTGCTATAAAAGGGTAAATTATTGGTGTTGGCAGGAGATGCAGATAGGAAGGTTTACTTCTACACTTTATGGTCAAACAATTTGTGGACATCTAAACTTGAAATATTTTTGATCTGGACATTCCATTCCCAAACCATGGACATTATCTGGAGTTGCCCGTGGAGCTATAATAGCCTGCATTTTCTGGGGCAACTTTTCACAAGATTGTTTGGAGAGCGACTATAAAAATGTGTGCCCATTTAGCCAAGAGGGACTTTGTAAGGTAAGCCAATTATGTCCAACAAGAAGATCAGGCTCATAATTTGCATTGTAGTTCATCTAAAGTACCGATGGGCTGGATGTTCGAACGTAAGCATCTGCCGTTTGTGTGTTCGCTGAACACATAAATGGTAAGGACATTCAGTGGGCTGTTTGTTTAAAGGGATACCCTAGTGCTAATGTGTTCCTCTGCCCACAGACCCCCACAACCACCCAGCTAGAGTTGTGGGAAAGAGGCCCATGTCCCCAACGGCATGGGTACACCGTCCCAATGACAAGGACACGTGGCCTGGCAAGTCGCAGGGAGGGGCAAGTTAGAGTCCCATAGACTTGCATTAAAGCGGAGCTCCACCCAAAAGGGGAAGTTCCGCTTTAAGGACTGCTCCCCCGCTCCCCATTAAGGATTGGCACCTTTGGGGGATGAGGGGGAGTGGGTACCCGAATTTGACAGGTACCCGCTCCCACTTCCGGTCTGATTGCCTAGGCGATCGAAAGCGGAAGGTGTCCTCCCTCCCTGTAGTCTTTTGGGACAAGTGTCAGGTCCCAGAAGACTACAGGACCATTCATGAAGTGCAGCGCTACTCGCGCATGTGCAGTGGGTACCCGACTGTAAAGCCACAAGCTATCACAGCCAGGTGCCCACACTGAAGATGCCGGCCTCCTGGAATACATGACGGCTGGTGAAACGGGCTGCAGGGGACACATCGTGGGACCAAGGGACAGGTAAGTGGCAGTTTTTTAAAAGTCAGCAGCTACAGTTTTTGTTATTTTATTTTATTATCTGACAGCGTGAGTGGAACTCAGCTTTAAGTTCGAAGTCCGTGGTCGAACATTCATTAGGTTAGAAAGTTCGACTGCGAACCGAACAGGGGGGGTGTTCAGCCCATCACTAATCTAAGCATGTACAGTAGGGTTCAGGACTGAGTTCTGTACAGGCCCCTCTAGATCCTTGAAACTATCATCAAACCATGTCTTTATGGAGATAGCTTTGTGCACAGGACACAGTCCTGCTGCAACAGAAAAGGGCCTTCCCCAAACTGTTCCCACTAGGTTGTCGAAAAATGTCTGCATGCTGTAGCATTAACAGTACCCTTCTCCAGAAACATCTGACCTCAGTGATTTGGAGGGGTAGCTATATAATTGGGGCCATATCATATATTCAGCCTTCAGAAGCCAAGATCCCCAGAGGGGATTTGGCATGCTCAAATTGTTGCAAATTGTGTTCAGATACATATCTCACATGTAAGTAGGCATATATGGTTTTCTTTTGACATGGACTGTGTTTATAATAAAATGTCACTTTTAATGATACAAAAGTCAAATGCATCAGTGGGAATTCTACTTCATTAGTGTTTATCTAGACTGTAAGTCATGACCCCTTATACACAGAATGAAACATAACAATACGATGTGCCCATGGGCCATTTATGATTCATAGAGCTGCATAAATGGCTGGCCATTGGGTAATGCTTTATGTATGGGGCACACAGTAACATCTCCTTATGGCTCATGTTTGGAATAAATGAGCAGAAAAATATGAGTACACTGCCTATTAATTACCTCCTCAACCGAAATTCTCGTTAGATAGTCACTTAACTTTGCAGCAATCAGTCCTAATAGCTGTTTACCCATTTTATCGGAGGAGAAGGAACACGGTGAAGACACACAGCTGCAAGGTTTGATGCTGTAAGTTCAAAACAATGTCTTATCTATGATAATATTGCTTAAGATTTGTTGTGCAGTAGTTTATTGCAACTAATTCCCGCCATCTGTTTTCTATTTTCCATCCCTTCCTTTTTACATTCTCCTCTTCTTTCTTTCTTTTTCTTGCTTTCTTTCTTTCTTTCTTTCTTTAGAACTGACCTGTCTTTCTTTTTTCACTCCACAAGCTTTCTTTCTTTCTTTCTTTCTTTCTTTCTTTTTCTTTCTTTCTTTCTTTCCTTCCTTCCTTCCTTCCTTCCTTCCTTCCTTCCTTCCTTCCTTCCTTCACTCCTTCCTTCTTTCTTCCTTCCTTCCTTCCTTTTTCACTCTATAAGCTTTCTTTCTTTCTTTCTTTCTTTCTTTCTTTCCGTCCTTCCGTCCTTCCTTCCTTTTTCACTCTATAAGCTTTCTTTCTTGCTCTTTCTTTCTTTCTTTCTTTCTTTCTTGCTCTTTCTTTCTTTCACTCTTTTTCTCTTTCTTTCTCTCTTTCTCTCTTTTCTCTCTTTCTCTTTCTCTCTTTTTCTCTTCTTTCTTTCTCTCTTTCTCTCTTTTTCTCTTTCTTTCTTTCTCTCTTTCTCTCTTTCTCTCTTTCTTTCTTTCTTTTTCTTTCTTTCTCTCTTTTTCTCTTTCTTTCTTTCTCTCTTTCTCTCTTTTTCTCTTTCTTTCTTTCTCTCTTTCTCTCTTTTTCTTTTTTTTTCTTTCTTGCTCTCTTTCTTTTTTTTCTCTTCCTCTTTTTTGTCCTTCCTTCCTTCCTTTTGTTCATAGCTGTGTCAAATTACACAGACCTATAACTTTATAAATATCTTAAGTGTAGTGCTTTGTTCCATACTGTTATGCACTATTAGGAGCTGGAAAACAATGTACAAAGACTGCTTGACATCAGCTGACCTCTGAACCCTGAAACTCAAGCTGAAATAAAAGAAGAAACAAAAAGGGCACTACTAAGGTTTACAGTACATGTTCATGCTCGATGGTAAGACTAGAAAGGAAGCAGCATGTCCATATATTGGTACCCTTAGAAGCGTTCCTTTCTTCTTTTACAGGTTTTTCACTCCGCAAGGTCACAGGATTGCAGCAATCTTTGGGAATTCGGTTTATTACAGCTCCTCTCATCTAAACTCCAACTTCTGCCCTAGATACCTGATTTTTTTACAACTCTTCATTACTTTAGCTGAAGTGTATCTTAGGACATAGAAAGATGGATCCTAAAAGAAAGCAATGTGGCACTACTCAATTCCCTCAATAATCTATATAGTATTTTTCAATTGTTACAAAAAAAAAAAACAAAGCACAGTATGAGTCACAAAAATTATCCATGACCCCTAAATTATTTTAAGAACTTCTTCCAGAGTGAAACTCCCCCCCAATGCAATGTCAGTATAAATGACAGATTTAGATGTGGTCCACCTTTTCTTTGATATACTGGATGCCTTCTTTGTGTTGGCTTACTGGGGAGTCATTTGTGTATTAGAATTTTACACCACTTGTATACTGTATTGTAGATTGTTTTTCTTAGTATTATAATACACTGAAACACGTATTGTAGATGTTGTTAATTTGCCTTTAAAGGATCTGGGTACCCCGATTAGGGCGATATTATTGGCCCCCAATAAGGAGTATTTTGCATATATGGTACTTATATACAGTGAGGCTGATTTACTAAAAGCAAATAGTTTGTGCACTTTGCAAAGTGAAATTGTACTCTGCAAGTGCAGTTGCTCCAGTGCATAGTAAATGGGCAGAAGCTCTGCTGACATCCATCATCCAATCACGTGCAAGAAAAAAAATGCAGTTTTTTAAAACTTTTCTTTGCATGTGATTGGGTATTCTTGGCAAAGAGAAGCTTTACCTCGTTCACTAAGCTCTGTAGCAACTGCACTTGCAGAGTGCAGTTGCACTTTGCAAAGTGCACAGTCTATTTGTCTTTAGTAAATCACCCCCAGTATGTCATTTTAAATGGCATTGTATAAGTAAAGTCACATTCTGGGGATGTTTTAAATGTCTTTTCAAGCTAGGGATAATTTGTATAAAGTTTTGTAAGATCAATAAAAATATTTATATGGGGGGTTTTTATTTGAGGAAAGTGGCAATACTTTCTATTAAGATCCCTCTTTCTCTGTGCTTGGTTGGTTAAGGTGTTTTAACTCTAGATGTCTAATGGATTGACAGATAAGTACAAAAATCTATCATAGTTCCCTGCTCTATCCAAAACAAAAAAAAGTTTTGAATGGACATAAACTTAAAGCATGTGGGATTCAGTCTGCACATTTGGTGGTGTGAAACAAAAGCATGCACAATTAGGACAATGTATTGAAGTGATTGTCAGTAGACAAGCTGTAATTAATTCTTTTAACAATGAAACCATAATGGGTTGAGGTCA